CTGAGGTAGAAAAGTTCTCTCTAGAGTATTCAAATTCTTCTTCTGAAATTCCATCCTAATCATACAAATCGAAAAATAATTTTTTATTAACCATTTCATCAAATCTATCATTCAATTATGAGAATAATATGTTTATTGATGTACAATTGCCTATCAATAAGGTTGACCTATTAAACTGACCCATTTCTCCTTTGGAAATGCACACGGAATCTCTTTATTTAGAAATAATTTGACTGTGTTTGGTCACCAGTACTCAAAAGAAACTGTCTTTTACATACATATTGAAGCAGCAGTTGCACCAATCTAAAAAAATCTTACACCATCTCTATAAAGAACAGAGCATAACATATATTTGCCATTTGCAGGATTGCCTTTAGCTATCATATTTAATGGTTTGGGGATTTCATACTTGAGAACTGATGTAAAGATTTGTTCCTTATTGAATTTTTCAATTCTTTCAAATAGTGCAGAAGATGAAAATAAAAAGTGGGTTGTTAAAAAAGTAACAAGTCTGTATTGAAACTTGTCAAGTGTTTAAAAATTACCTTTCATTCGAACAGGACAAGTTAGTGAAGATATTGATTAAGCTATTATTCTATTACAATTTGCATACTAAGGCTTTTAAATTTCTAATTTTATTCTTCAAATGTTCATTATTGCTTTGTTTTCAAGAACTATGCAGACATCAGTGGATATTACATAGATATTTACTCCAATAAAAGAGATCCAAATCCTGAGCCAGCTCTTCCTCCAACTGAATGGAAAAAAAAATCTTTAAAGATCCCAATCACCTGTAAGCATTCTTATTATGTGCATAAATTTTTCTATTTGTTCTCTTATTTTTGAATAAAATCTCCTTGTAAAAAATTTGTTTTTTCATCCTAACCTACTACTATAAAATTATCTGATGATACAACTATTTGTATTGACTATTCTCAATTTTATTGACTTTGGCATATATTTTTCAAAGTTTTTTCTGAAGCTACTTTTTAAAAGAACTTGGAATTCCATCTAAATTCTGTAATCTAATCTATTATTCTTATTTTATATTTATATTAGTATTAGGTGTTTATAATTATTATTTAATATCTTAGATTTGGCTATTGCTAAATGTTTAGTTAAAAATCTTATTTTATTTGTTTCTATATCTTTTGTTATTCTGCACTCATCTAAAGTCACCGTTTATTTATCTTGTTGAGCCAGATCATTAATATTTGAAAGCAATTCATCATAATGTAATTATTGTATTTTAGTTATTAAATAAAATTGGGATTTCTTAAAGTTGAATTTAGAGTTAGACGATTGATCACTATTTTGCAAAATAAACTCTATAGAAAAATCCTAAAACTACATAATAATTAAAGTAGTTATAGGGCTTGTTATCTGATTTTATTCTTTGTGACATTCTAAATGAATTTCATAATTCCATAATATTTTAGGTTTCAATAAAATTTAATGCCCAAAGTGTAGGATTTAAAGTTATATATATCCTATCTTTAGATTTATTTCAAACTTCTAAATTATATATCTAAGTCTAGTTGTAAGAATAATAACTTAATATTGGCAAAAAATTAAATTAAGACAAAAATATCTGGAAAGCAGTAATTTTACATTATCATTGGAATTAAGAATCAAAGGACTTCCTTTTGCTTATTTGCACATTTCCTATTAGTACCTTATTATCTTGAAATTTAAATATATAAATTATTGTAGAAGAGTATTATAATTAATAACAAATAAAGCCAAATAATCAGCAGATAGAAAATCAACAATTATTAATTCTTTTTAGTTTCTAAAATTTCTAAAAAAAATTCAACATATTAATCATGCATTTAATTGATTCTCAAAACAAAATTTATTTAGCTTTTTAACATTTAAATAAACTTGACAATTTTAAACTAAGCTAAACTATGAATAAGACAACCTTATTTGCAAGACTTTTCTTGAAAAACTCAATATATACTAAATATATCTCTTTATTAAAATAAATTTAATTACATCAAACTATAATCATATTTAGTTCTAAAAATAATCACCATTGACACAATAAATAAAGGAAACTTCAATAGAAAGAGAATAATGAAATAACACTAAAGAATCAAATAATAAATTGATGGGTATTAATATCCTTATGGTTTATTTGCTTACTTATATGACAGAATGATAAAAGAAGTTTAAAGAAATAAATAAATGAAATATAAGAAGAATTCCTTTCTTTATGTAAAGAAGAAGGATCAAACGCTTATGCTAGAGGTTCTTACATGATTGGAAGAGAGATTGTTGATTTAGACTCATAATTTATTCAAAAACAATTAGAGACAATGGATCAACTTGATTAATTCATAATAACAATTTCCATAATTTGAAGAACTGGAACTGGATTTAAATTTTCTGATTTATTTGTTAACAGGTTACATTTTGATTCTGGAAATAAGGTCAATGATTTTATACTATTTCCATCTTCAGAAATATCTAATAATACACTTATAATTTTGAATTCAATACTATCAATTTAATTGACAAAAAGAATATTTTCATAGTAGCATTATGTTTTACAATCAATCAATTTATTGAAAAACAAATAGATTTAGATTTTGTACATTATTCCCCTATAAATAATTTTGTTGCTTAAACGATTACCCTTACAGTTGATAAGAAGAATTAATAATATAGAAAATGAAATTTTTTTTTAGAATATTTGTCCATATTCTTTAATTTGAATTATTTCATCCAATCATATGGTAAAATGAGATTAATATTAATTCCAAACGAAAAGAATTAATCAAAGGAGATTTGTTAGTTATCCCAAAAACAAAGCTAATAAATTATTTCAATTTTACAAAGCTATTTAGCAAATAGCAACATCATTATTATTTAGGCAAAAAGAAGTAAACTACTTTTATGGCATATTAGATTCAACTCTTTAGAATTTAGATCACTTCTTTAACTAAAGTCCGAGAGTTTTTAATGCATTTCATCAGATTATTAAGTATTATCAGGACTTGCATAAATGAAATAAATGGGAATATTTCTTTCAAATAACACTCCAATTATCAGTCAATTATAACTATTAAAATGACAGGTCGATAAAGTATTTGATAAACGAGCTTTTACTTGGAGTTACATGACTGAAAGTCTAGAAGATTCAGAATTTAAAGGGACAAGAGAGGAACTTTTGAGTTTAGATACTGCCACGAAATTAAAGGTTAAGTGAATCTGCAAATAACTTGGAATTTCTTGAGTAGTATTGAGATATTCATATTATATATAAAAAGTAGTTAAAATATTTGTTCTTCGACATTTTGATCACCATTACAAAGTATTATGAACTTTGTGATTATTAACTTGTTTTAAATTTAATTTTATTTGATGTGAATTTATTGATTAATTTTATTATTATCTTAGAGAATGGAGAAAGAAAATTCAAAAAATATTAAGAAATGAATTAATAAATGAAGCATAAAAACTAATCGAATATGGTTCCAATGAATATCAGTAATAATTAAAATAATCCATTGATGCCCTTGAATAAAACATCTATAAAACGAAAGAATAAAAATAGTTTCTAGGCATTGTTAATATTTTTTTGCAAAAACGATGCTGTCGCCTATATTCTCAAAGATATACGTGAAATTAATTTTCCTAATACTTCTTTTTAAGTTAATTAACTTTAAAAGAAAGCTTTTTTAACTTAATTTCTGGATAGTTTGTTATTGTTTTGTTTTTTAAATTTTGAAATCAAAATTAGTAAAATCATTGATTGAAAATTTCTTGTTTATATATGTATTGTTGTAAAACACTACCTTAACTACTCATTGGTATTAAATCAATTAGAATAAGAATAATCAAATAGTGTTCTTTAATTATATGTCATTCCTTATATATATCCACATAATAATTACTAGTTTTAGAGCCAAAAATCCGATAGACTGCAAACTCAGAATTTTTATTCTCAAAATGCCAGATTTGCTTTAAATTCTTCTTTCTGAAGAATTTTCATATTGAGAAAGAAGTTACTTATTCTTTTATTAACTTTATTTTCCTTATTTACCAACAGAGTTGATAGCTTTTAAGAACAAGAAAGATTGTCGGCTGGGAACATCAATCCCCAATGCTAAAAGGAATATTCCCAAGAACCGAAAAAAATGTTAAATTGTGCGAAGGGTATGGTACTGGTCCTCTTATTTATAGCACCTATGAACATATTCTGTTTTAATATGTTCCAGACAATAATAATTCTGATTAGTTTTTGATGAATTATATTATCTTTGTATGATTTATAATAATAATATTGTTTATTAGAGTTAATTTGTCTAATATATAATTTATTCAATAAAATCTGCAATTTTTAATTGATTATATGTTCAATCCTTAAAACCAACTCTACAGTTAAAGAAATTTAAAAGTTGTCTTAAAAAAAGAAATAAATTAAATCTTGAAAGGAGGTAAACCAAATCAAGCAATAAAATAAAGTAGAACTGAAAATTCTTGCTGATATCCATAAATTGTAAAAAATTCACAATTAGTAATTATATATTTTATTTTCTTCTAAAATAATCGAATTAGAAATTAATGTATCTAGTCGAAAAAAAAACTGTAAACATTTAATTTGATGATCCTATAAATTAAGGAACTTTTGGATCTATATTCAAAGGAGTAATTGATGATGGTAGATGCGTTGCGGTGAAAATATAAAAACATATTTCTGAATTTGAAAACCAGATTTTAATGGCACTTAAAGGCTAACGATTTGATCATATTATTTAAGTCATAGCTTTTGAAAAGAAGGAAAACGAAACTTACACAATAATGGAACTTGGAGAGAATTTGGATTTAAAGAAACTATACAATAAAACTAAAACTTGTTTGCAAGTAATCAAGGTCCTCACCA